AGATAAATACTTAATATTCCGTCTCCTTTTAGAATTTGTAACGATAGTTTTAAACATATTGTGATATAGTTAGTATTGGGTCATAGAATTGCTCACACGGCTAATATGAAAACCAATTTTGTTGATTGAAACTAGTACCGTGTATAAAAAAAAGTTAATTCATTCATTCATTCGTTCATTTCAAGTCTCCTCCCATTTCGAAAGTTAACGTTAAGCTACAGGATAAATGATTCGATCCTGCCATTACATTCTCATACTCTTCTTTGCGTAGAGACGTGAAAGTCTGGTGAATGACTCCGCACGCTGGAAAGAAAGCTCTGCATGCAGAGTACAGTCATTTTGACCTGGCTATTAAATGAACATTTTTCATAAAATTTCCAGCAGCAAAAACGTTTTACCTTAATAAGAAAATAGGGACCTTTAAATTTCTAGGAACTTAAATAGCCTAATGTCACACTGTTAACACCTATTATACAAGAAGTGTTTGAGGACAAGGTATATATATATATGTTTTTTGTTGTTTTTTTTTACCGTATTTAAGTCGTTTATTCTCAGATTTTTTCGTCTTTCATTGCTGTCTAGGCGCTGGTTATTTGTTAGACTGCTTGCAGTCCGCCTTTTCTCTTAAAATCCGTCTAGTTCTTGATCTCATCCAGCGCGATTGCAACCCACGATGTTGTCATATAGACGAGACTAGAAAAGACGGTCGTCTCTTATTTTTTCTTCTCGGGCTTACGCCCTCTTTTCTCGCGGCAAGCGCTAGCGGCTTCGCCACTCGCGTGCTGAGGTTTTGCGTGCAGTAACTTTGCAAAGAAAAATAAGAGACTCCTCGCAGTCTTTAATTTGTTGGCATGTTGTTAGGTGTTATACCTCGTTTATAATTTTCTCGATGTTTCTCGGTCACCATCCATTACCTATTTCAACAAGGAAGTCCTAATTACGTGATATTCTAAAAGCTATCAAACACCTTTGTTGCAGTTATCCCTGCGTCACTAACGCTTTCTCCGCACCTTGCTAATTGTAACTGATAAACATAAAAATTTAAAATTAAATTGTCTTCCGCTTACTCTACTAGGGGCTAGACCACATTGAAGAAGATCATGAAAAGGTCGCTTGCGGTGGACGTAGAGAGATTTTTTACATTGCTGTGGATTTTTCCCGGGAGGGTACTCCCATACATTAACTATACGGGTATGTGCCGCCCAAAGGGGTCGTGATTTTGAAGCTCCTGATTTACAACGGGGTATCCATTTCAGAGGCGTTTTTTAGAACGGGGTATAATATTTCGAACGCACGAAAGCTCCACTTTTGTAAGCAGCCATTTGAAATTACTCAAGGACAGATTGCTTTTAAAAATACGTTTCAATACGTTAACAAGCAAACCGTTGTACTCTTGTTGCACCTTAGAACGGAGTATAAAAAATTGGCCTATTTCTAGAGCGGGGTACCAATGTTAGGGGAAATTTTTTCTAGAACGGGGTGCCAATTTGGAGTCCCGGGCGGCACATAACCACCCAAAAAATACCCAAGTGCCCCCCCCGGGGGATTTTTCGATGCCTGAGAGTTTGGAAGAAGGATCTTGGCATTATTATTCAAGGGGTCAGAAGTTTGACGTATCTTTTTCATAAAACAAAACATGTCTACTTACCAATACCCAAATTAGAATTCCAAATATCGCATTTAACAGCAGAGCCAGTACTATGATTGTCCATATTTGAGAAAACTCTTTAATCACATTCCATCTCGCCTTGTCGGCCAACACGTCACGATTCTTCACCACAGCTATGCCCGGCGAAGTTATTAAATCTTGGAAGCGAACTTTGTGAAAGTTGTCTCTCATTACATAGGAACTAAGCACTGGAAACACCAGGTCAAACCCAGACTTCATCTTCATGCATTCGGTTAGTTTCGAAGCGGTCTTTACTTGATGCGTGTAGTTTAATTTGAAGCTTGAGTTTTCGCACTGTTTGTGAGACACCAGTAGCTCAAGGTTGCAGTTTTTACATTTACTAAGTAAAAATTCGATTGCCTCGTTGAAGGCCCCAGAGATGTTTCCAGTATCATCATCTTTAAATAAGTAAGGTGGACTGTTGAGCCAACAAACCGACTTTGTGAGCTGATGACATCTTGGAGACGACGCTGTTGGTTTGGATGTTGACTGGATGAAATGACTTGAAGTCGGAGTCACTGATGAATAACTTGAGTTGTGGCTTATTGAAGATGAAGAGGGTGATAGAGCATCCACTTGGCAGACTACAAACAAAACCAAGTGAGTACCTAGTGCCAGTTTTATCTCCATTTTGTTAATGCTTCTAGATTACTTGTCGCCCTACCGGGCCATATGGTTCTCATGATTAACCCAAGATAAGAGTGCGTTGATGAGAAAGGTAATTGTATCGTCTTCATATTAATTACATCACTGCATACAGATCGATAACTGCTAAAAAGCCAATAATAACGTTGGCCACATTTCAGGCCAGGGGTAACAGAATACCGTAAA